CATCCTTACCACACCATGATTTCCTGCAGTAAAGGACGTGAACCAACTCCTGTCTGAAGCTACATGCACCGAAGCTGCACTGTCCACTACCCACTCTGATGAACGGTCTACAGGTGTTGTGTTACCTTCAATACAAGCTAACACCTCCGCTGACACGTAATTTAGAGTGTCATAATTTTCCTGATCCTCTTTAAGCTTTCTGCAGTGTTTCTTGAAGTGACCCTTCTTATGGCAGTAAAAACATTCAACTTCTCCACTGGAACTCCTCCTGTTATTCCTATGTTGCTGCTTCCCGTTGTACTTCATCTTGCCATTCCCCTTAAACTGAGCTACCAAAGCTGATTCAACCCCATTTTCTGCCCCTGAAGTAGTTACAGACATTTTTCCTAATTTTCTCCGGGCTTCCTCAGATAAGGCGGCATCACAAATAGCTGAAAATTTCAAGCTATTTTCTCCTAGCGAATTCGACACCGCGGTCTTCATCGTCTCCCAACTGTCAGGCAAAGATGTCAACAGCCTCATAGCTTTCACCTCCTCTTCAATCTTGACACCCATCCCTTCTAACTTGTTCAAGATATCGGTGAGCTCATCATTAATGTGGGAATTCACCGAGGTTCCCTCCCCATGTGGATGTTAAAATACTTCGTCCATAGAAGTATTTTTGTATTGGCAGAAGGTTTTTCATACCTGTCTTGCAAGGCCTTCAACAACTCTTTCGCAGTCGTCTCTTTCGCCACGAGACTACATACCCCCATTGATAATGTCATTCTGATATTTGCAACGGCCTGCTCATCCATCTCATTCCAAGCTTTGTCTGTCATATCCGCTGGTCTCTCCCCCAAAGTCTTGTGTATCTTCTTGCACGTAAGAAGATCCTTTACTTGCATCTTCCAAAAACTGAAATTCTCCCAACTGAACTTCAGAACCCCTTCGTAGTAATGATGTGCTTGATATTTGTCTCTCATGACTCTGCAACCTATGCTCTGATACCACTTGTTGGGAAATTTAACTATCCTGTATAATTTCCCCTTCCACAGAAAATATCTAAACACAACCACAATATGCAAATATAGGGAAAAGCACAGAAAACGACACAGAGAATTTATACTGGTTCACCCCAACTATGGGCTACGTCCAGTCTTCCGCAACAATGGGTTCTACTATGATTTTGGGATAAATACAATGGACTTCACAAACGCTCTACAAAGCTCTCTCTAGATGCCACAACAATGGCCAACTAGCTTCTAAGCACTAGGCTAATAGATACCTAGGAATACAGAACGAAAAACCTTACTAACCTTAAGAGAATGGGTTGCCGACAAAGCACTACAAACCCTTGTTCTCCTTTCTCTTCTCTACCAATTTGCCGCCACTGCCCCAATTGTGCAGCACCAACACAAATCTGCTCCTCAAAAATTTGGTTTTACGGCTAATGCAACCCTATTGTTATAAAACAAAAAACCTAAACATAAATGAGGTATTTTGGACTTGGGATTTTAGGCCCAATTACAACTAACCTTTTTTTTTTCTTTATGAGTTTTGGCTCCACAGATTCTTTTTTATCCCAACCGTATGTCACATCAACATTTAAGTAATAGTATTGATGAAGGGCGAGTCCGAACAAAGGATATGTTACCAACTAAATTGGTAGTTTGGCCTTGCACATATTCGTTGGGGGAGAGAGTCTGGGGGGAGATATACATGAGTGTGTCGAATCAATATAATCTCAGCCCACCTTTGCTAAACAATAATTTGGCACCTGAACAGTAACTACCCAATTGCATGTCCTGCCTCGTGGCCTACTTCTTGCCTGAAATTTGGAAGATAGCAATTGAGTGGGCATGATCTTCATATGTGATCCCAACTACTATTTCTTTCAAATAAAGAGGTACATGAATCTGGAGTTTCGAATTACGATTTCTCTTAAATAAACCTATTACTGACAAAACCATTGGAATGCTAATTTTTTTTTTTTCAGGTTTTTCTTCAAGTTCTTAGAGACGTTAATGCTTTGGTCATTTTTTTTTACTAAATGCCAACAGTAATTGACATCTATCTCTAACTAAAAAGTTACGAGAGTATCTTCTTTTTGAGACTTGGAGATTAAAATGCTCTCATCTAATATATATATGGTTAAAATACAAAAACTAAATAGACTTTAACTATATTAAAATTAAATGACTATATGTATAGTTCAATTTTTAATATATTAGCGCATTTAATAAAAAAATTTAATAATTATTTGAATTACATTGTCCATTTTCTTTTTTGGTACAATAAATGAGGGTATAAAATTCGAACTCATAACTTCTTAATCAAAACTAAATACGCTGAAATAAACTCACGTTCGCGGTAGATTCTCTATATAATTGGTGAGATTATTAATAAATTTAGTCACAAAAAATATGCATTTTTCAAACACGAAGAAGATTGACTTTGACCTGAAAAAATAGAAGACACATGGAACCAACGGCTAGGATGTCATCAATCAAAATGATATTGGCTCCATCGAATCCTGTCCGTCCACCGATCCAATCGGTGAATTCTCTCTTCTTTTTTTTTTTTTTTTGAAAGTTGTGAATTTTCTCATTTGCCATTCTGCAAAAGGAAAAAGTGAGAGCCTTTTCTTTGCTCCGAAGATTTCTTCGTCCTGAGTGGAGGATGAACACTGACCGCATTTACCATTTTGCCCCCCTTTGTGGGACCCATTTCGGAAGTTAGGTGAAAAATCAAGGGATATGGTTAACAAACTCCGTCTCCTCTCCCCCCTCGCAGATTTTTATAAAAATATATTATTTTTATGTTAAGATATTTAGGATTATTTGTCAGATTTTTTAATTTTTTTTATGGAGAGAATTTAAGAATTTCTATAATTTTCTTCCTTATATCATGAATATGGAAAAAATAATTTCTAAAAACAATTGAATTAGACGAATTTGACAAACCTTTAGTTTTAACATTTTTCTTTTTCAAAAAAGTATTTGTTCTTGAAACACTTTTAGTATAGTGATTTTAATTAAATTAAAACAAACTATGTGTTTGTTACATTTTTTTTTGTAAGGTTTTAGTTTATAGTTGGGGTGGGGCAGGGATTGGGAAGGCTTCCTGATTCCCATCATTGCCCTCCATTTATTTAATTCTTCATCTCCACAAAATTCTCTATAAAGTTTTGCGGGGATCGAGGTGGGGATTCCTCGTGGGCAGATTTTTTCCTTATTTATTCTTTTACCTTAAAATTATTTTTCAATTAAACATTTTTCCAAAGGAAATTTCGAATGATAAAAACTATATTTACATTGTGCAATCCTCCTCTATATATTTGGTGGGTAGAGAAGAATATGGTTTTATTAATATAGGTAAGTATAGAAATAATAATAAGATTTTTCATTCTATGTGTGTAAAATGCGAGGGACCAGGAACGGGGAACCTTTCTCGTCCCCGTCCTATTTAGGTGACGGGGAAAAAACTTTTCCCATCCCGTCTCGTGGGAAATTTAAACGGGGATTCTCCACCCTATTTTGGCGGGTCTCCACGGAGATGAGTTCGTGGTAAAATGAACATCCCTACTCTCATCTCATAAAATACTTGTAATTTGGTTATATTTTATTAACATAAATTTTAATTACAAATTTGTTTGGTTGTACTACATCTAAATATAATTATACAAAAGTCAGATGGGCATAAAATAATTCTAAAGTGACTATCCATCGACAATTCTAGAATCACCTCTTGGATGGTAAGTGTTAGAGTGGTTATTAAATAAATAATTTCAAACCAATTTGATTATTAAAAAATAAATTTTATCTGTTACCAAACATACATGTCAAGATCACTGCTCTTTTTACTCTTCAAACACACTTCCATTTTTTTAATTTATAGTCGAATTTAGAAGGGAAAAGAAGTTTGAAAGATAGTTGAAATTAAAATTGGAAAATAAACAAAAAAAGAAAAAAAAGTGGTTATAAGCAAGTCACACGTGGGCGCTACCGCACCGGATTACGACTCTTGACGGTTGAACATTTTGGATTCACGTGACTCAGACCAGAATTATCCAAATCAGGGATATTTTAGGAATTTCGACAGGAAAAAAAAAGGCCGCAGAGGTCAATTTCATTGGACAAAGCAACTTCGCTCACCTACAAACACACTAATCCGACTCCAAAACGGCGTCGTAATAATCCCCAATGTCTCAAAACGACGCAGTTTTGTCTCATCTCCTTCTAAAAAATATCTCCTTTTTGCGAAAAAACCTCATTTCTCCGTTCACTGTCCGCAGATATTAATCCGTCGCCGACCAAAAACCCTCTCCCTTCCCAACTCCGACCGATTCCACCAATCTGCCTCGGTCGCCGGAGAATCCATCCGCCGCCGGACCGACTGCTTCCCCCGAGCTGCCGCGATCTACTAAGTCCACCCGAATTCAGGGATTCGTTTCTTTAATTTTGGCCCTGGTTTGAGCTGAATCCTTCGATTTCTCTTATGTGATCCAGTTCTAGTTGGAATTTATATCCGAGCCTCTGAAGAAGAATGGATCGGGCGACCATAACTGTAGGACCGGCGATGGATATGCCGATCATGCACGACAGTGACCGGTACGATTTCGTCCGGGATATCGGCTCCGGGAACTTTGGGGTGGCCAGGCTGATGAGAGACAAGCATACGAAAGAGCTAGTCGCTGTTAAGTATATCGAGCGGGGCGAAAAGGTCAATAGTGGATTGTTAATTAACTTTTTTCTTTTTTACTGATTTACATGAGCTTTTGGAGCTAATCTATCTATTAAAGGAAATTTAGTCGTTGGGGTTTTTTTTTTGTTCTCCTTGGGTGTTTTTAGCTTCCATGTCTAGTGTCACTTACAACTGTTTGTTGTTCTGTTCTACTTTTAATCATTGGGTACTTTATGGCAATTTTTTTGAACTCACACAAAAATCTTGTGATTGGGGGTTTTTCTTTTTTGTCTGTTTACTTGGGAGTTTTAGATATCTCTATTTGAACTTTGGGATTTCGCTTGCCACACGGCAAACGTCTGCTTTCTTTTTCTCTCTTTACCCTTTAGATATTTTGGGAAACTTCTTTTTAACTAGAGAACTAACTATAGTTATTGATGCATATGAGAATGGAAGTAATTGGTGTTTATTTGTTTTTTTTTTCGCTGAAAACTGTGCGAGAGAAGAGGCAGATTGTTTTTGTCCGCTTCTTTTTTGGTTCCAAGTATATCTTTTATGAAAATTATGAAAATTTGTATGAAATGGCAACGAGAAAGAGAGACGTGAGCATGTTTATTTAACGCTCCTAGCTGTTTCCACCCTTATTTAGCTATATAGCTCCTGTACTTCATACATGAACTTGCTATTAAAATCTGTTGTGGTAGTTGAGTAATGTTTTGTCTGAGGACTGACATGTAAATAAGTGAGCTACTGAATTATAAGAGAACAGAACGTATCAGGGTTCTTTTCATAAGATAAATCCACCAGGAAACTTGTATGTAAAATCTTCCAGACAATCTCACTTGGGATTTTTTAGTTCAAATAATTAATGGGCTAGTTCTCAAGCAAGGGCTATAGGGATTATGTTTTTCTCATGAAGCTACGTCTTGTAGATTGATGAAAATGTTCAGCGAGAAATCATCAATCACAGGTCCCTGAGGCACCCTAACATAGTCAGGTTCAGAGAGGTATTTTTAAGTTTTCTTTGAGATTTTCCAGTCAACTCTGTATTTTTTCTGGATTAGTTATTTTCTAACTCAAGCATCTTTGACTTCTTTCTACCTCTGGTGAAGGTCATCCTGACCACTACCCATCTTGCAATTGTAATGGAATATGCATCAGGAGGAGAGCTCTTTGAGCGAATAAGCAATGCAGGGCGGTTTAGTGAGGATGAGGTCTTCAATTAACCTGCTGCTTTGCTTCTTATTATTATCATCATTTCACTCTCTTGTCGGGCGTTTGATCTATTTTTCTGCTGGTGTAGGCTCGTTTCTTCTTTCAACAGCTTATATCGGGAGTCAGCTTCTGCCATGCTATGGTACTTGAACTGTTATTGAATTACAATCTCTATCGTGTTCTTTTCTAAATTATATCCTTGAAGGGAACTAGAAAATTTGTTCTTTTATTTTATTGGTGAAGCAAGTGTGTCACCGGGACTTGAAGTTGGAGAACACTTTATTGGATGGAAGTCCAGCTCCTCGTTTGAAAATATGTGATTTTGGCTACTCAAAGGTATTAATTCCTCTGTTTCTGATTGCAATTATGAGTTTCTGTTGTTTAATTGCACAATTTTTCGTTGATATTTGATCTTTATTCCTTCTGTATTTTTCCTTTTCTACTTGGATATATTTGTTCAATTGTATGGAATGCATTTCAGTTTTGTCCTTTATTGTACATCAACTTAAATTTTATGGCAGGTTTCTGGTTTAGATGTCAGCTAGCTTTGTTTTTTCTTAAAGTTCAATGTGCTCTTTTAATGTTGTTTTATATACATGTGCTAGACGAGATTTAAATCTAGATTTAGTTCTACCTATCGAAACTAGATTTAGTTCTACCTATCAGATTCCACATTTCATGGTTGTGGAAGGCATGTGGTTGGGTAGTGTGATTTTATCTTTTCATTGACTTTATTTTCTACTTAGTCTCTATGAAAAGATTGTCATGTTGAATCATGTCTTCTCAATTTATTGCTTTGGGGCATCATCATTATGGAAGAGCTGATTATCATTACATTTCCCAGTCATCAGTTCTTCATTCACAACCTAAGTCAACTGTGGGAACGCCTGCATACATTGCTCCAGAAGTACTACTGAGGCAAGAATATGATGGCAAGGTAAGATTCTTCTAGATAACTTCTGGCTACCTTCAATGTGTGGTCATTCTCATGATTGTAACATATGTCAAGTGACTGATGTTTGGATTTAATGGATGCATAAATTCTTAACTATCGGACAACAGTTTGAAAATCTGATACACGTCTCCGAATGCTACTCTCAACATAGCCAACTAGAGCTTTCACTTTAGTTAAGTGATTATATTTTTTATAGGATAGAAAAAACTTCACTAATGGCAGATGAATAACCTCTCAATGCTTGCATAATAGAAATAGATGATTACAAGATTTTGAAGATGCTTATGAGTACTTCTCCAAGCTGTACTCATAAGTTATACAAATTCTCCAGGATTTTATAGCTATCTGTTTGATCTCTACAAGCCTTGGCTATCATTTTGTCATTGGATGGTTTGTGTTTTTCTTTCTCTCTCTTTTCTTCTCCCTTTATTTAGTTTTGTATTGGGAATAGGTAGTTTTCAACTATCATATCCCTGTGACCCGAACGGTTTCAGTTTGGATATCTTATAGACTGAACTCCAAACCTGCATCTGACTGCTTTTGTTGGGGTTGATATATTAAAATATTATCATGGAATTCTGTTCGAAATTTGTATTTGTTCTCATCCTTGTCAGCACGGCTCAATCTTTTCTGACAGATTAACATGTTATGTGAATTTTGTTCGGAGCTTCTTTTAAAGTGTTTTAATGATCATTTACTTCATGCCTCACACTACCATCCGAATTTAAAAAGAATTTTGATATATTGTCTACATGGCGATACCATTATCTAGTGAGAATTGAAACGCATTCTATTTTGATTGCATATGAAACATCAGATTGCAGATGTATGGTCATGTGGAGTGACCCTGTACGTAATGCTTGTCGGAGCCTATCCTTTTGAGGATCCTGATGAACCAAAGGATTTCCGGAAGACAATACAAGTATGGGATGTGGCCCTATAAAATATTTTGTGCCTCTCTTAGTTGACAATGCATGAACTCAAGATTTTTCTATTGGTTCATTGCAGAGAATTCTAAGCGTCCAGTATTCTATTCCTGATTGTGTTCAAATATCTCCTGAATGTCGCCATCTGATATCGAGAATTTTTGAGGCAGATCCTGCAACGGTATGACCACGAAAAGAACATGCTTGTTTGTGTTACAGTTAGAAGAGTATTTAATATTACTATTTTTAAACTCTGGTTCTGCTGATTCTTCATAATATCTCAATTTGACCATATTTTCACAACAACTCCTTGAAAGCCCTGGGCCTGGGATTCCTGTGCACATGCTTTTAATGGGAGGTCTTCAATTCTAGCAACAACTGATTTTTCCTTTGGGCCGTCCCTGCTGATTTACCTGGGATGTTTTGGATTGATTGCTTTACCTTAGTCTGAAACTTTGAACTCATCATGTCCAAGTTATTATAGCATTATTTGAACTACCTTTCTCACTTCATTTTTACCTAATTACTTCAATTACTTGAGTGGTTTCAAGGCTTTGTTTTTGTAAACTTGATATTTCGCTGCACTGAACGCTAAGAGCTTGTTTGACAAATTATTTTCAGAATAAATTTTTTGTTTTTGTTTTCCCAACTTGAGATTGAGTTTTGATGACTTGTAAAGATTTAGTGTTAATATATAAATTGAAGTTAATCACTTAAAAATCATGATTTTGAGATGAGATAACTTCATTTACTCTAAAAATCAGGTCATACATGAAAATAAACTTTAGAGAAACAAGAACAACAGTTACCTGAACATATTTTCACTGGATTAGTGCTCTAAAAATCAGATAGATAACTGAAAACGGTTTTGAAGCTAGTCCTAAACTTCTGAAAAAATTCTAAGATGGGGTTACTCTTAATGGGCTTCCCCGATTAGATTCTTAGTCTAATCTTTCAACAAAAACAAACTGTAGACATTTGCACACACAAATTAATTATGATTGATGTAATGAGTCTAGTGACCATCTGATTTAGCAACTCAACCTTTTTCCAATTTGGGTTGTGACTTGGAATCCAATTAGTAGAAATTGTCCTTTGAAACTGCTGTCTATGTAGTTGTATATTGTTCAAGTTTCAGCATCAAGAAATTCCAACTCTTCCAACAATGGTTCATATTGTCATTCTCTCTTTCACGTTTTAATGTACACAACAGAGAATCACTATTCCAGAGATAAAGAAGCATTCATGGTTTTTGAAGAATCTCCCGTCGGATTTGATGGATGAAAACACAATGGGAAACCAATTTGAAGAGCCAGATCAACCGATGCAGAGCCACGATGAAATAATGCAGATAATTGCGGAGGCTACAATACCAGCAGCTGGTTCGCAACGCCTTATGTGCATGGCAGATAACCTTGACATGGACTACGACGACGACGACATGGACGACATGGACGATGAATCTGAGCTTGATGTAGAAAGCAGTGGCGAGATAGTGTATGCAATTTAACAATTGATCATCAAGATGCTGAAGTGACAAATTATGGGACTGGTTCTGACTCAAAGAATTTGTTAAGAAGAGGAAGTGCATTATCTTGTTCATGTTCTCAACGATTTGTAGATTATCTTTACAAGTGCCTTTTGAGATTTACATGCTCCTTTGGATTATGCCATGTTAATAAAATGCATCTATTAACCCATGTTGTGAAAAAGGATTTCAGCGCCATGAGGCTATGAAGAAGATAGGGTTGGATGAGACTGCGTCGATGCTGTTAAAAGTCGGGAGGTCTAATCCGTTTTTTCCACTGGTTTTGCTATTTGACTGAGTTTGTACTGTATTTGTTTTCCGTTGTTATGTTTTGCATGAATTTGTGGTACCCTGTACAAAAGTTATGAACTTTCTCTTTGTGATTTGCCCTTTTTCTGCTGTTCTTCATAAGTTTCATTGTTTTTCTTTCTTGTTGCAGCACAAACCAAAAGCTACTTCCATGTCAATTAGATAGAGGCTTTAGAGGAAATAGGGTATATGGATTCACCACCAATGTTGGCTGATAAAATAAAGGCCTTTTTAAATTGCTTCTTAGACTGCGAATTTCACTTGTATATTCATTTGTGCAGTGTTTCATTTCTATGAATCCAGTTTTCTAACACAAAAAGATTGGTAGAACTTCCTTAGTTTGTACAAAATGTCAATAAATTCCAAAATTCATTGCGTGGTTCGGCAGCAACGACCAATTGGTACTGCACTAGCCCTTTGGTTCGATATTAGAGAGTGATAGATTTCTAACTTTAGGTCTTTTTAAAGTTGATTTAATTGTGAAATAAATAAAATATCATAACGTGTGTATCTAGTGAATGGTTGCTTCAAACTAAGTTGTTTCTAGATGCATACATATTTAATTCAAATTTTGATTTATTTTGAGCATATGGGTACCATTATAGATTCCAACTTCATGTTTGCTCGAGAGGCTCAAGCTGGATGGAGCACACCTTGAAAATAGTTCCAAATAATCTCTAAAATATGGGGTGCTAGTTGACATATACGGGATAGGAGATTGAACAAATCTAGAGATTGCTTAGATCAATATGCTAGTTGATATTGCGGACTTTGTTGATGTGTACCTGTTGGCTATTGATGCATGAAATTTAAATGATGGACAAAGTTTACATCTAATTTTACAAATTCACACGACGCCTCACAAGATTTTTGTTAAATACACTACAACAGGCTAAGTTGAACAATAAAAGATTTTTGCTACATACACCACATAAATTAAACTATAAAAATCAAAACTTTTTTAATTTAAAATTTAAAGGTCAAATTAAAATGTTGAAAAGCTTAAAAAGAAACAAGTGCAAAGGTTTGTAGAAAAAGAGGAGTAAAATATAGATTAAAAAAGAAAATCCAATGTATGAAAATAAAGTCAAGTAGCATGGATAGCTTAATAAATAAGAAATTCAAGCATTGAGGACTAGAAAATTATGAGAAAATAAATGCATAAATCCCAAGGTGAGATCTCTAAGGGGCATTGAAATTTGAAAAACTATTGTATGGATTTATGGAAATGCTAAAAATTCCAAACACATGCAATTAAATTCTTGTCATGTGCTCCAACCCACAGGATTATACTTCAAGTCTAGTCAACCATTTTTCTTGTATTAATTACATTTTTGTATTGTCCAATGTTTTAAATATTTGTTAAGTAAATAGTTTCTTTCTCAAGGAAAAAAAAATATGTTAATGATATCAAAAGTACCATGTAAGTTTTTGAAAATATACATAATAGGAAGGACTGACATTTAAAAAAAAAAGGTACGAAGCAAATTTGAACATAGTTCAATTGGTTAAACTAAAAAAACAATAATTTTTATGTTTCGAAGTATGTTGATACTATAGATCTTGCTCAGAAGATAAATCCAACACATTTTAGGGTCACCTCAACATAGAACTCAAATGGACTAAGTATGTGCACTATAATCGCAATTTGATCGACCTACCACAAAGTGATAATTGTGTGTAATTGTGTGGCGATATGCTTTTTGTAAGTATCACGTGCAATGAAGAAGCTGTCACAAATGGAGAAGCTAGTCCCTCAAACACACTATTCCTGCTATTATTTGGTACAGGTACTTAATAAAGAAATTATGACTATTCATGATGATCAATCTAATGAGTATCTTAAGCTAGAAGGTTGTGAGATGTACGGTTTAATGAGTGTTGTTTTTAACACAACATATGACGACTTTTTTGGATTTGAAAATATTTTGTGTGGTGTTGGAAACAAGCGAGATGAGGACCAATCTAATTAAACATACAAAAGAATATGATATTATTAATGATGAGATGAGTTCGATGTCGTATCTATGAAGCATATCTATATAGAGAAGGTAATGGCGCTGCACACACATTTTGACGAAGAAAGTATTGGTTTACGAAATTTCAGAGAATTTGAACAGTGATACTCCTAATTCGCTTCATAAACTAATAGTTCAAAAGTAAAGACGAGTCAATTTAGACGGTAAATTGTTTGAGAATGCTTTGAAGGGGAAGATTTTGTCCTCCAAATTGACAAATGTAGAAGCTTTTAGATCATTGATGCCAAAAATTATGAATATGGAATAGAAACAAATTGTAGAAGGGTTTATCCAAACCTGTCATTATGTGACTTTAAACATGCATGCCTCTTTCTGGATCTACTTTAATTTTTAGAACTTTAGATCAGTTAAGTTTCTAAAATAATTCTCATTAATCATTATGAGAATGAATCTAAAGTTTCAAAAGGTTAGGATTTATATATTATAGTTGTTACAATTAATGTTTTAAATATTGACATCAACGAAAAATGTCGAAATTTCAATTTTATGAAAATATTGATGAGAAGATTAATAAAATGTTTGAGGTTGTTTACACATTTCTAGAAAAGTCAACAAAATCATAAAAAAAAATATTTAAATTAACAATCAAGGATTTCACCACTTTAAAATAAGTTTTAATTATTAATATAATGTTCATATTAATGATATCTTGTTGATATTTTTTTTAATATTTGGTCGACTTTTTACAATATTATAGAACTGTTGATTTACCCTTAATTTCAAACGTAGAATTCATGAACATATGAAAATGTCTCTGTAAATTTGAATCTGACATGCTCAAATTTTCAGTTGAAACACCATTACGTTCGTAAACATAAATGATTGTTGCTATTAAATCGTTATAACTCCACTAGTTTGCAACTTCAAAACTTTACAGATTGCAAGAGTTTTTGCAATGATATCCTCGAATTTATAAAATTGTTTAAGTTAAACTCAATCACTAATGAAATTTAATTTCAATGATCTTCTAAATAGAAGGATGATTTAGAACATTATCTTTTCCAACATCTTCAAAATTGAATGAGAGAAAAAAAAGGTTAACGCGAATTATAGTAAAAAATGTGGGACCAAGAGAGACACCTCTCATGTCTCCTCAATTATCACTGAGTTAAAAACGAGCATAACTCAGTGATAATTGATATATATCTACAATCTCTTGGTTCTGAGTTTGATCTCCTATCCTAACATATTGTACTAAAATAATGATAGGAAAAAAAATAATTTTTAGTAAAAAATGTCATAAACAGATAATTTTGTGAGAAAAATTTTAGTACTATCGAAGTACATTACTTTTAGTACGATGCTGATGTGATAATCGCAAGTATCCATATTTTCGTAGTAGTAAATTTTTTAATTTTTATTTTTTGCGATTTTGTTAATGTTTTTAGGCTTGTTAATATTATGCAATAAATGATGTGTAATAATGAGGATCCACCCTCAGCTGCGGCAATACCGGAGGGTCCTGTTGGCTGATTTCATAGGTTTGGAGCAGCGACAGCCAACTCGGCCACCGACATTTCCAGTAGCCAGTTGCTTTCTTTGCAATTGAACATTTGCAACTTTTTCTAATTTATTTAAGTAAATGTTAAATTTTTAATTCCTTGGAAGTTTGCTAATTTGACAGTGATTAATATTTTTTCCCTTCTTTATTGAGTATTTAATAAATATATTATTTTTCGGAGAAAAGGTGATTGTTGAGTATTTAATTAATATATCATTTTGGAGAAAAGGTGATTGTCGAAATCATCGTAACACCAATTATGAGAAGTAAAGCACTCTTCTAGTATTTTTTCTTTTCTTGTTTTTCGTCTCTATTTCATGTTTCTAGTTATTTGTTACTTTTTTCTTTTTCTTTTAATAAAATATAACTATGTTTAATAAAATATGTTTGTTAAGTACCCGTTTAGTAATGTAATCCTTTGACAATGTCTTTGTTTACTTTTTCGTGTTTCTAGTTTACGAAAAACTTAAAAATTTGATAATTATTTATATTTCTTATTTCTCATTTTTTCAGAAAATTTTTCAAAATTGTATAGAAATATTTTGATGGATATAGTTCCACATTTTATATTTTAAACAATGGTTAAGCCTATCAAATGACCTCTAATCTTTTAGTTAACTCTCAATTTTATTAACATATTTAGACAGGTGAACATCTCGATCCAAATTTTATTTAGAACATGAAACTCAACACATCCATTAACAAAATCTAGCTGAACCATTAACGATATTCGTTTCTTCCAAATGACATATCTCCGTGTCCGTATTAATAAAAAAATAATTAAATATTACATCAACTTTCTATTAACCTATTAAAAGAAATTAGACATGAACTTAATCGAGAATTTTTAATAGAAGTCAAAGAATAAAATTGAAAATTTTAAAAGATTAAATATCGTGTCGAGAATTACATGAGCCATAAGCATTTTACCATCCTAATTTCAGCCCAAAGTTATAAATAAAATATAAAATTAAAAATAGGTCTTTATTTTATGATCTTACTTATTATTATTATTTTTAAGCATCTTATTTATCTTATTGACACTTCACATAGCCCTTTCTCTCTACTATATATCTCTAACTATATCTATCTAAAATCTATAGCATATTCCACTCTTAATTAACCTCAAATAAATTTAGGGCATTTTTAGTGGAAAGTAGAAAATATTATCAAATATATATTTTTTATTGTTTATTAGACTACAAGTTTTGATTTTTTAGAAATGTTAGGCTACAATTTTAGTATTAAGAAAATGATATATTAATACTAAATCTAATTTTTATTGCATAATAGTAACACATAAGTGTCCAAACAAACTTACTTACATCATTACGATAAATTTGTAAGTTTGAAAATAATTTTGTAGAACATTACTATTTTAAGTAAAACATTAACATTGTTGTTTTGATCTAGAAGTACTATCGGAATAAATACGAATACTTTTTAGAATTTTTAAATGTATTTTGATCAAATACCCCCTAAAAAGTTTAAGGTTAAAATATTTTTATTCCTTCTAATATTTTGGCTCTTATTAACATTTTAGCCACTATACTTTTATTTATAATAATTTAGTTTTACTAGTCACAATTTATGATGACATCTGATAATAGCATTTATAAGTGAAGTATTTGGGAAGAAACAATTAAATATTTTCCAAAAAACACTTTATAAAGTATTTTAAAATTTTATTAAATATCTCATCAATGAAGGAATTTATACCAAAAAATTGGACCAAGTGGGAGAAGCAAACAAATTAAACACTCTATATAACCCAAACAAAAACATATTCCAATCATTTACTCATTCATATTAAATTAAAATTAATTTTTAGACTTCAACTAGTTAAGGTTAAAACATCATTAAATTACAAAATATTGCTCCCCTATGATTTGGGAACATTTTCAACTCGTGAACCTATAATTTTAAAAATTTTAACTTGATCTCAGATCTATATTGTCGACACATTTTTAGAGCAAAAGTTTTTTATATGACTAACTATGTTACTGTTGGCTATACTAAAGTTAAAGGTTGGTGGATAAAAGATACTTTAGGAATGACTCATGAGGTTTTTTTTTTTTTTTTTGAGTACAATATGTGGGGGTCGAAATCACAATTTCTTGGTTGGAGATATATGTCAATTACCGCTAAGTTATGCTTGCTTTGACAATGACTCACGAGGTTTAACCAGGTCATAAAGACCCAATCGAAGCTTTTAAAAGCATAGAGACCAAATTAATAATTTAACCTATAAAGCACGAGTAAGCTCGGCCCGAGACTAGTAGGCTTTAGCATTTCAAAACAAAGTTAATTAGGTCAAATGGGAGAGGGTTTTATATTTTATATGCATAATATTAAGGTGATAGCATAGGGTATATTGTAAGGAGCATGGAATCCGGCGGTTAGAAATGTGGGAGCTCGTGGCATCCTCTCTTCAGCTTCCTTAAATCAAACCCTACACTCTCTTCTTCCCTTTACATAAATATAACCATTTTTCCTTTCTTTTTGTAATCAACCAATCTCTCATTTCCACCCTCTTCTCTTTCTCTAGGTATCGTTTTTCTTCTCTTTCCTTTGGATTCCTCTTTTTTCCATCTTTCTTCTGTGCTCTTTTAACTTCTAGCGTAGCGTGAACGTTGAAATGAGGGACAAAATTTTACGTTCTAACTTTTTAGAGTGTGCCTCTCTTTCTTCCTTATCTCTTCCTCTCTATTCTTAACTTCGAGGACAGAGTTTACGATGAGGGATAAAATTTTGTCCCCTGAAAAATGGTACAGTGGCAATGACTAACTAGGACCTTTGGGTATCACTTATCTTGAAGTTTTAAGTTCGAACCTACACTGGTTACAATGTTATTCATCTCAGGCAACAAGTCTTAGTTATAGAAAGTCATTAGTGTAAGCCACACGACATCAATTCTGAGAAAAGAAAAAAAAATGAGGGACAAAATTTTACGTTATAACTTTTTAGAGACTTACATTTTTGTGCTCTTCCTTTTCCTTCTCCCTTCTTCTGCTCTTAACTTCAAGAGCAGAATTTGAAAAGGGGATAAAATTTTACGTTAACTTTTTGTGCTTTCTCTTTTTTCCTCTATTCTTAACTTTAAGGGCAGAGTATGAAATGAAAGATAGAATTTTACGTTCTAACTTTTTCTAGACTTACTTTTTTGTGCTCTTCTTTTTTTTCCTTCTCTCTTCAGCTCTACTCTTAACTTCAAGGATAGAGTCTGAAGCGAGGGACAAAATTTTACGTTCTAACCTTTTAAAATATCACTTTTTTTGTATGGTTTTGTTTCCACAGGAGATCAATTTGGGCAGAGATATTATAAGAGTAAATATCAAAGATGAGGGAGGGCAATTTGGTAAATTTGATAGTGGGGATCATGCTGATTTGCTGCAGTGCTTATTGGGTGAATGCAGAAGACCCATATAGGTATTTCACATTTCAGGTCATGTACGGTACACGTGCTCCCCTTGGTGTTAAACAAAAGGTTCCTCTCTTCCTAATCTTTTTTGCATTTACCAATCAAATTTTGTTTTTTTTTTATTTTATAATTTACTTTTGGAAAATGTTAATTCAAGTCTACTTACTTTTTAAATTAATTTCCTTTTATAAAATTATAAGATTGTTTATCGGTTCCTTGTGTTTTGAGCTTGATTTCATTTTGATCCTTATGATATAAAAGATTCTTGCATGTGTATCTTAGATATGATATTAGAATTCGAGTTGAGTTAAAAAAAAATAGCTAAATTAAGTCGGTTTACAGCTAAAGAAAGAATGAGTAGTGCACAAAACGGGTGGGTTTTGTTACCCAAATTCATCATTTTTGTGTTCGACTTTATATCTTGTTTACTAAGCCTACTTGTTTTTATTTTCTACCAAAATCAAATCCCAATACGAAAAACTACATAATTAACGAATTTAAACTTCACACACACGTTATATTGAATGCTAGCGTCCACAGCTTTTCTCCATCACATCGGAAAAAATGTAGTATACGTAAAAAACTATTAACATATGATAATAACATAGATGTTTTAAAGATACTTAAACCAAATTTTGAGGACTGTAATCAATGTTTTAGAATCATAGAGACTAAATAGAAACCATATTCATAAACTATAGCGGGATTAAAATGAATATAACAAAATTTGATTATTATTTGATGCACTATTTCAAACATAGTTTTAAAAAATTGAGTCTTTTTTTCCTTAATTTTTCTAAATCTTTGTTAATTAAGATTGAAATGAAATTGTTACCAATGAGATTTAAGGCGGTTGTTAATACTTGGTTTGAAAAATTTGACAAAGACTTCGAGAATATAATTTTTTTTTTTTAGAAAACACTTTAAATATTTTATAATTTTGTTATATTATTGTGCAGGTAATCCTTGTTAATGGGCAGTTTCCAGCCCCAAAAATTGAGTGTGTGACCAATGACAACATAATTGTAAATGTCATTAACAAGCTTGATGAACCTTTCCTCTTTACTTGGTTAGTCCTAAACTTTATTATTTATTTATAATATACCAAACATTTCGCGATGATTATAGTCGATTAATTTCTAAGTTAATGAGTTACTATAATCCACCAAATGAACTTAAGGCACCTATGTCCGATCAGAAGGTCGTGAGTTTGAATCCCCCACCCCATATATTGTACTCGAGAAAAAAGTTAACTCAATGAATATCTCAGGAGCGGAATCAAGCAACGGAGGACCTCATGGCAAGATGGGGTTCTAGGAACCAACTGYCCAATTCCTCCCAACTCAAACTGGACATACAAATTCCAGGTCAAAGATCAGATCGGAACCTTCACATACTTCCCTTCAATCAACTTCCAACGGGCCGCCGGTGGCTTCGGAGCTTTCGTGATCCAGCCTAGAAGCGTCATCGCGACTCCGTACCCGATTCCCGATGCCGAATTCGACCTTCTCATCAGCGATTGGTACAAAACTGACCATAAGGTAATGAGAAAGTGATAAAAGAAAAAAGTACTCAAACCTTTGAACTATAGAAAAGATTACTAAAACATTTTATGTTATGTTATGTTATGTTATGCAGAGCTTACGTAAGAAATTGGATTCAGGCATTCAACTTCCTTTACCTGATGCTCTTCTCATCAATGGCTTGCCTACTACAACACTGATTCTTAAGAAAGGTTTAAAACTATCAAATATTTAAATTGTTCTTACCCGTTCGGTGTAGTTCCCAGTTTTCGTTTCTCGTTTCTCGTTTCTCTCATTCCTTTATTAACCCAAAATTGGTATGATAATGGCATAGATGTCTCGAGTCTATTGGTGAGGTTTTTCATTCCTATATTCCTACGTTAGTACCTAAAAGTGAGGTGACTTTTGTCGGGGCCTCTAGAGTATTGACAGTATTGTTGAGAGTTGTATCTCATTGTATTATCTCAAACATATTGGTAGAACCTACACATCTGTACAGAAGACTGGACGTAGCCATATTTGGATGAACCAGTATAAATTCTTGTGTCGTTTTCTGTACTTTCTCTTATTCTTTTGTTGCGTAGTTTACTGTAACTTGCAAGTAGTATTTTTTCCCAACCGTTTCGATAACGACTATTTCATGTTGAAATTTTTGAAGGGCTAACATACAAGTTGAGGATATCAAATGTTGGGATAGCAACATCAATAAACTTTAGAATCCAAGGGCATTTGATGACCCTTGTGGAGGTGGAAGGAGCTCACACAATGCAAGAGGCCTACGAGTCTCTTGACATTCATCCAGGCCAATCTGCCGCCGTTTTGATCTCTCTCAACAATTTGCCAAAGGACTATTTCTTTGTGGCTTCTTCTCGTTTCACAAAGCCAATCCTCACCACCATTGGAATCATTCGCTATGAAGGCTCTTCAATCCTCCCTTCCAAACCTTTGCCCATTGGGCCGACCTACCACCTCCATTGGTCCATGAAGCAGGCCCGCACCATCAGGTTCGTTCTTGCACAAATTTGAATGTAGTGAGATTTTTCACGATAGGGACTAGATTGTCACATATTTCTAACTATCGAGACTAAATTGTTACGTATTAAAGTTCAGGGACTAAGTTGTTAGTAAATTTGAGACTAAGATTTGAGTACATGTGAGATGGGGATCGAACTCGCAACCTCTTAATTTAAGATATATACTAATTACTACTAAACTATGCTTACTTTGGTTCAAAATTATAGTAATAAACTTTAGAATCTAGCAAGTAATTAAGTGGAATTGTAGATATTTGAGTGGTGTATCTTCATAGGTATTTGCACATGAATTCTTATGCATATATTTGGTTTGCATTTGGACAGGTTGAATTTGACAGCAAATGCAGCAAGGCCAAACCCACAAGGATCATTTCATTATGGGAACATAACAGTTGTGAGGAGGCTCATATTGGCGAATTCATTGACGAAGATAAAAGGCACTCTTCGTTGTGCAGTTAACAATGTGTCTTACGTTGATCCAACCACACCCTTGAAGTTGGCTGATTGGTTTAACATTCCCGGAGTTTTCGACATCAGGACGTTCATCGATAAACCCACTCCTCGACCTGCAACTCTCGGCGTCTCTGTCGTCAACATTACCCTTCACGACTACGTCGAAATTATCTTCCAGAACAACGAAAACACCGTCCAAGTTTGGCATTTCGATGGAACTAGTTTCTACGTCGTTGGGTACGTGTCACTAACTTAATTAGATCCCCATTTTCACTTACAACTTAATAATCCTTCTCCATTAATATAAATCAACACGAGTTTTTGGTTCTATTCATTTGTCTTTCAGATATGGTCCTGGTATTTGGACATATGACATGAGAAGACGCTACAATTTAGTGGACGGTATATCAAGACACACCGTTCAGGTAATCTTAACACAATTTTGTATACTTTTGTCGTGCATATACCTTTCAATCGATGATATGAATTCTCATACTTTTCGGGCAGGTATATCCAAGATCTTGGACTGCAATATTAGTGTCATTGGACAATAAGGGCATGTGGAATTTGAGGTCTACAATATGGTGGAGAAACTATTTGGGTCAGCAATTGTATTTCAAAGTTTGGAATGATGAAAAGAGTTTGTACACTGAGGCTGACATCCCACTCAATGCTCTCAAGTGTGGCAAAGCATCAAAGTATTAATAGTAAGATTGATTAAATTCATATCTCTATTATTTGAAAAAGAAAACTTTGTTTTTATCTTTTGGGTTTTAATTTGATCTCAGTCACAAGGGGGTGACTGTTAAAATTTAAGAAAACAAAAAGAGGGAGAAGAGGGGAGAGATTGGAAATAGAGAGAGATGAGAAGCTTTGTACTTTGTCATTAAATTTAATCACTATCCTTTGTAAGTTGTAATAAATCTTCAAGAGTGATTGGTTTATCTCGTACTATTGGGTATAATCATTCACGATTAAACCAAGCATAACATTTGAGTCGTCGTATCCTCCAACCCGAACATAAAGACCTTTCAAATGCATCTCTTTAATTTAGAGTTGGATCGTCATGTATCTAGCCTAAGACATATTGTGTTGAACATTGTGTTGTGTATCTCAACTCGGACTTATGACATGGTTGTCGTCAATGCATCTGTGATAGTCTTATTTGACTCGAAGCAAGAAACTTTTGCTTGACCATGTGCACGATATAGCAAACTCCTTTTAGCCTACAACTCCATCTGTGATAGTCTTATTTGACTCGAAGCAAGAAACTTTTGCTTGACCATGTGCACTATATAGCAAACTCCTTTTAGCCTACAACTCTATCACTACGAGTCTTAGCTTATGAAGAATTCTTATAAGAGTTTCATATCTATTAAAAAAAAAAGTTATAATCAAAAAACTTATGATCTAACTTCGATTAGACTACACTTCAAAGTACTTTTAAAAGCGTAGAATCAAACATCAAAAGTGATTTGTTATTTGGTCGGTGTTCCATTCGGGGATCAACACGACTGTCTAACTTAAATTTCCCCTTTTGACACTATCTCCTTTGGTGTATACGCTATGTTTAAGGGCTTCGGAGTCAATTGATCATATTTTCCTTCATTGCCCGGTGGCTACTACGGCGTGGTTTCACTTAACTTCCCTTTTGGAAGTGTCTTTTTGTCTCCCTAAAAAAATTGATGATTTTATTTCTGAAGGCCTTGGGGGAAGGCCCTTGAGGGTGAAGCTTTATTCTTTGGAATTGTGTGCTGCTAGAGCTTTACTTTGGCTTCTTTGGAGAGAACGAAATAGTAAAATTTTTTAACAAAAAAAATCTTCGATAGATTCTCTTTGTGTGAATATACAACATACGACTTCTTGGTGGGCTACTATACACAAGAAAATCTTTTGTAATTATAGTCATCAAATGATTATACGAGATTGAAAAGATGTGATTGTTTAGTTCATCGGAGAGGGTTTTCTCAACCCTCTCCCTTTAGGCTGTTTTTGTTTTGTGATGGAATACAAGTTGTCTGTTTCTTATAAAAAAAGAAAGTGATTTGTTATCAAGCATTTTTCACTAAAATATTTTTATTCTAGAAGCACTCCCTGATACACCTAATGATAATTTCTTGAATAAAATATATAATTAACCAAAAGTCAACTACAGTGAATACCTAAATATTCTTCTTCATATATTTGCCCATTATATTGATTTTATTTGATTTATTTTTTGTTTTAAATTTTAATGTATAAATTTATTTAGGTGAATATACCACTATTAATTATGAATATTGTTTCATGAGTGTTTATATACATCTTTAAAACATTTGCTATATTTTTAAATTTAAAATTAGCACAACAAATTGTCTTTGAATACAAATTAACATGTAAACGTTAGGAAAAAAATTGAACCATATAGGCTAAATAATTATAACTTCATACCCGATTCTTCATCCTAATCTTCTAAAAACAAATATTATGAATATTGACTATATACTTCAATAGAATTTGATATATTAATACAAGGGAAGACGAGAATGAGAAAGATCAACACATATACAACAAACATAAATAATTAAGTAAAATTTTGAACAAAAGGAAGTTTAAGAAATGTATCGACTATATTACTGGTAGGATCAAGGAATTTTCAAAATTTCATTTCATTTAAGTTGCACATCAAGAAATGGACAATAAAATAAAAGGTAAAATTAGTATAGAATCAATTATGACTTTATGAGTACAAAGAATAATCATTTAAAGAATATGGACTATGATTATATCTTGAACAAGTAAATGCACTACTCTAACTTGTGCAAACTGTAATGGATGTGAATGTGTTTTCTCTTATACTATTCATGACCCTAGCATTTGGTATTTCACGTACGCAAAGTCAGTCATTAAAAAAGAGTCAACTCGAATATAGCTCAATCGGTCAGAATAGAAATACTAATAGCCTGTCCCTTCGTAGCATTTGAAAGACGCAAAAGATGAAGCTTTCAAATTGAAAGAATATTAATGATAAAGGACTCCAAGCCTCAAGGAAAATGGATGAGAAACTCTGCATGGGGCTGAAGGCCACTTAAGTACTTAATTACTCCATGGGAAGCTCCAGAAATTTCGTCAAACTGTCATGAAAAAGAAGATATAATATATGATAGTGGTTAAAACTGAGCTATCCATGACGGTAAATCGATCAATTTTCACGAGCCAACAGAAATCATCAGTTTCCAAGTAAGTGAAACCGATAGGTCCGTTTCAGTTTTGGTTTGTGCCTATAAGCTATAAGCTATGCTAACCGACCGATATTCACTCCTGATCTCAAGATGAACCTTTTCTAGTTCAATACCTCATTACTCAAATCTAGATTGTCCAAATATCTAAAGAAAACCGATATTAAATATTCTCTTATTTCTACGAATAATTAGTCCAAGGAATCAAATATTTTGCTAATCACCACTAAACCTAAAAGCTTCTTTTTAAGCTCCTTCCTCACTTGCAGGTTGTAAATTTGCACAAAACCAAACAAGTGATAAATATCATTTTGCTCTGTTACCATGTTAAATCACCACTGGACCCAAAAGTTTAGTAGACGGGTTAAAATAAATTTAATCTTTTATAGATACCCTTAACCCATTCTTTTTCAATTCGAGTTCCTTTTGAACGAGTGCCCTTGCAGAGCCAATTCTGAAGAAATTCCTAACCTACCAAAAAAAAAAATTTCAAGGGACAATGAGAAATCCACATAAATTTGGATCTAAGAAGGGATCGGACTAAGTTGAGGCTAGAAGAAGCAAGAATGATTAGACAATGGTTGGATACGATTCTCACCAAAAACCTCCATCTAACTGGTAAAATATCTTTTCATTGACAAGTAAATAGACATCTATTCCAACCTGCACAAACAAGATTCTTACTTGACGACCAAATAATCTCAGCCGTACATAATCTGATGTCTCTAAGTACAAGGTTTCTTATAAACTTATCAAAATCCTTCATATTTTAAGTGGTTAAGACTGCATATACTTAGATAATTGGGTTTGATAACCACACCCTGTAGGGAAAAATATTAAGAAAATTAGATGATATTAGTTACTCAACTCAAACAGAAAACTTTTTAAAATATTGCATAAAAATATAAAATATTAGAACTAGAGCTAAAATCTTAAATGGCTAAAGTATAAATGAAGCATTGTGCCGAGATACATACCGTTTTAGAAGCACTTCTGGATTATATGGGAAGAGATTCTCTCTATGAAGATTTTCCAAGGATCTTTTCAATGACTGCAGACAATTTTTAGCTTTCTTAACTGCTTTTACCCCAAATCTGTGACGCTTGTAGCCATAATCATAACTATTAGATTCCTCAAAAGATGGAAGAGTTTCATTGCTTTTATTGGGTGAACCGGACAATAATTCTTCTGAAGTATTTGAGCAATTCAGCGAAACTTTTCTTTTCTTGCATGAAGAGTGAGTTATGGCATCCCATTTAGAAGATGAATCTACTAGTGCGTGCTTGGAATCGCTTATTATATGCAAGCATCTAGAAAAAGAAAATTTACGGTATGTATTAGGAAGGGAATGAAAGATGTCCACCATGTCCTGAGCCACCAATTACCATTCACCAGCACATAATAAAAACTTGTTGACAGGTAAAAACACAAAAGTTAGAGCGTAATATTGCAGATAAGGAACATGAAAGTTATGAACTCCTCTTCAATTAGATGTTCTACCATGCTTCTGAATTAAGTTTTCACAATTTGACAAACAAGTAGGGCACGGCCAAGGAAATTCTTTAAGACAAAAAAGAAGATATACCTCAAGAGATATTCCAAACAATATGTTCCTGCATCTTTTGAGATGAGGTAATCTATGAGCAACTCATGATCATAGTTTAACTGCAAATAAAGACAATAGTCGAACAATTTTCAAAATTGCATGAAATTAGTAATGCAAATAAAAGCATATCAAAGTCATCAAAGCAATGACAAGAGAGCAATGAGGAAATAAAACTTTGGTGAGGTATATCAGTCCTATCTGAAATAATGTTACTTACCTCCTTAAGAAAAAGGTGAAACGTATTTACAGGATTAAAAATGTTTGAAACATGAAAAAGTATATCTTCCTCCTTCACATCCTGGGATGGTCTTTCACAAATCCTAAACACAAGCACACTGACTTTAAACATGTTGCAAGCAATAATTAATTAAAATATATGTGAAATCAAAACAATTATTATTACAAACCATGGCCGTTTGCGAGAAGGCAGAGGGAGAAGTTCCAACAGCACTTTAAATAATAAATCATCCTAGAGTTCAAGATAATAAAATAATTAGAACATAGGTCTAAACATATTGTTTTTTTTTTTTCTCTCCCTCGTTCTTCTGTAAATTCTCATCTTTTCAAAGAAAGGTTTATTAAAAGCAATACAAGAGGATTAGATAATCTGAATATGAAAGAGAAACGGCATGGTTACAACTTAGACAATATCACAAGTAAGATGGTCACAAGTAAGTTGTTCTAATAATTGAGAGATACATCATACAAGAGTCTTCAACTTCATGTAGCAATCATAACCTTTTATGACCAACTAGACTGGATAGGCTGGATCTAACAGTTTGAGAGATGCAACGTTAAATAAAATTCTATTTTTCAAGTTGCATCAAATCCAATGAATCTTGAGTGGACATTATTACATAAAGTATCAAGTGTACATTAGATGACAAATTAAAACCTAAGTAGGTCAAATATTAATCTTGCCGGCACATCCTTCTTCAAATATGACACATCAACATTCGCAACATGACCATTCATATCGAATGACATATATAGGACAAAGCAAGTATCTAAGCCTTCAAACCTTATTTATTAGAGCAAATGCCATGCGATGAACCCATTGGAAAAATATAAACATTCCAATAGCTACAATTTAGTAGAGCTTAAAACACACTTAGCATCTTATTGTGTTTCAAAACACTTGAATCATAAAGCCCTCCTAATGATAGGAATAATGCAAAGAAAACTGTATATCCATAAAATAGAAGATAAACCACAAAACAACTCTTATAAAGGGTACTAAATATTCTAAACTCTAGTATGCCATGGTGAAGATCAGAAAAGAAAATGTACAAACCTCATGCATAAATAGCTGGAGAAAAGATGATGCAAACTTGATGCAGTTTTTTGGATATGTTTTAGTATCCAGAAAAATATTTGTTGGAAGGTTCCCGTGAAGCCACACATACAGCTCCAACATACCTTTCACTCTACAACTGCATTCATCACATTTGCTACCCAAATATGTGGTGCATATCAACTGAGCAGTTGGAGATGCATCATGCTTTTCTGTAGGTTTTTTAGATAAGCTCAAGGAACACCTGAGGAAAAGAAAAATAGCCAGTCTTTGCAGATGCAAGGAACATGGACTGCGTTCTTTATCAAAAGAGCTCACAATCAATGGAGAATCTTCAAGGGAAGTATCTGGAGCAGACTCCAGCTTAAGCTTTGGAAGCAACAAGAGATTTTGGAAATGACTTTTGCAAAGTTGCAACCATAGAACAAGAATGGAGCACTGAATAGGACAGTGGAAACTAAGCCTGATCATTAATATCTGAAAAATGAAGAACTCCTATACTTAGTAAACCACTAGAAATTAAACCATATATTACACAACAGCAGCAGAAAATCAGAAATTTGTAAAAATCAAGATTTCTCAGTTCCTTATATTTGGATAAGTTTCGTATAATTTGAGCAGAATTCTTCATACTAACAGAATGCAACCGGAAATGGAGAGAAATTATACAAAAATAGGATAATTTAAAATAATAATAATAAGCAGCAGAAAAAGAAGATTGAGTGCAAAAGTTTCTATAATGATTTTCATGTGATAACTTACGCCTGAGCTGCAATTTCACAATACCCAAAGGCTTTAAATTAAATGGTGGAAAAAACAACAACGCGCTAAGTTCAAGTTGGTGGTTGGAAATGAAAACCAGAGATATGGAAGCAGAAACAAAAAGGGCCATGCAACACTTACAATGAAACATATATGGTACATTGACATACACAAAATACAGTATCTCACATTGAAATTAATACCAATCTTAGAACCCAAGTCCAATTAAAATTCATTTAGCATAAAACAGTGGAGGATACTAAACCAAATACTAAATTTCTCTCAATAAAGATGTTGTTTTAACTAAATTGAAGGTTCAAAAATCAAAATTGAAAGAAGACAATTAGCAATATATGAAGTTAGAAATGAGTGGAATGCCTGCATAGGCAGTAGATTTTTAAGAAATAATAGAAAACTCAGAATCATAACTAACATGTCTATAGAGTCAAAACCTCCAATATAACATCATGTTCCAGGCACATATGTCCTTGAATACAATCTTAACTTTTCCTACAACACCTATTCCTTGTATGTCAGAAGATGCTATGGTTGCCACCTATGAGAATCAAACATATTCAAAAGATTTGACTAAATAAATTGAGACACCATAAAAACCATATTTGCATAATCTAGCCGCCACCAAGTATTCCCATTGTATTTAACTCTATCTCAACAACTCTCCAGTATATATATTGGGGGGCAGGGGGCAAAATGACAGATTTGTACCAGCAACTTGTGACTGAAATATCGAGACAAGCACTTATCACAATGATCTACTTGGTTATTGAGGCACCAATCAAAAAGGCTAGGAATCAGGTTGATAATCTTATCAAGTAGAGGGTGAGTATCAGATGAACCACCAGCAGCTTCCTCAAAATCACTTGACTCAGCCAAGGAACAGAGAAATTGAACAAAAGTTCCTAGGAACAGAATTTTTGACCTTTGCCTCTGATGCAAATTACTGTAATGCAGGCCATGATCACTCGGGACTTTTACAGTGTCACAACTTTGCTCAGTAAGGATCTTACTCAATAAATTCCAAGGAACCTTTGAAAGACAAGAATTGACGGAATCAAAGAACACTCCAATAAGATCACTCTGCTCTTGCATCAAGAATTTCAAGGTATTTCGCAAAACTTGAAGAATGCCAGAAGCTGTGGAGAAATTGGTACTTTTCAGCTTAGGTTGTAGGATATTACTAAAGGTCGATAAATAACAGTCTAAATTTTCAGACCCAGTGATTGCAGGTGCAGAGGAAGATATGATTCTGGCAAGCACTAACTCCATGCAACAACATAATGAGTGAACTAATTCATCCCAGTAGATTCCCTGCATAATATAAATGGGTTGGAATATTAGCACAAAAATTATGTGATACATTAAGATTCAAGCACGTGCATAAGAACGTACACTTAGAATAATGAATTTTGAAATTGCTGCAAGTACATTGCCCACAAGATGTTTGACATACTGATTCTCAAAACCCAGTAAAAGTACCTGCAAGTAAGAAATGAAAATTCATAAATCCAAAGTAGGGAAGAACCGAAGAAGTGTTAGAATGATGAATAAATTAGATTAACTCTACAATTGGGAGATGAGATATCAGACTAAGTATCCATAACACTATTACAAACCCGACATGTACCTTTACAGAAGCATCAGACACAGGATACAAATAAATCTGCATTGTTTTTGTTCACAATAAAGGAAACTCCTAAGTCCAATATGAGACAATTATGAATGTAAAGAGAGAAAAATAATTTAACTTTGTAAATTTAAAATTTACTAGTTAATTTCTTCATTGGCTCTTTATAGCTTAATACAGAGGTTACAACAAAGAGCAGACAGATACATCTAATATGATAAGGCAAACACTGAAACATTTGAGATAATGTTTAACATTTAAGTTGGAACACATGTCCATCAACATTTATACACGATAACTTTGCATCTGAGCAAAAGCACGTTTATGTGGGAAAAAAAAAAAAACTATTCCTGCATAGCAGTTTAATACGTCTAGGAAGATCTTAAACTGTGACGTGGATGTGAATTTAAAAGATGTTATAAAACTTCCTCGCTCATGTTTAACTAGAGAAGAAGTATATAGTTTATAAAATGCAAAAGCAAAATTGAGAACATAGAACTCCACATTCCTGGTATGCAAACATGTTGTCTTCCTCCCCAAGTCCTACAGAATAAACTTGAAATACAGAGTACATCAACTTGATTGTAAGAAATTACCAATTCAGAGGTTATATTTGCAATACAATGGTGACTCTCAGAAAATTGATCCCACTCATAACTGCTTTTCTCTTGAGAAGCCAACAGTTGAATCTCTCCCTGATAAAAAATACATTGATGAGGAATTCTTTATGTGAGTCTGTGTGTGTGTGTGAGAGAGAGAGAGAGAGAGAGGCCAACACTATCAGAGTCGCCACCAATTTCTTGAACCCAGCTCTGAACTTCAATTACAACCTAATGATCAATCAACAAAATTATGCAGTAAACTAGTCTGAAAAACTGAGGATTTCTAAATTAGAAAGCAACAACAGAGCACAGGAACTCAGAGAGAAAAGAAGGGGGAAGCAAACACGAGAGAGCGCAATAAGTAGTTCCTTTTCCTTCTCTTTGGTCTCCAGTACCACCCCATCTTCCTGTTCACCCAAAAAGGAAAGTACGAACTCAGAGCGAGAAATGCACGAAATCAAGCAGAAAAACATTTCGTAAACGAGAAGAAACAGCAACAATGGAGAAAAGGAAAACCTAACTCTGAAAGGACGGAGAGAATGATCGACGAGCCGGCAAAGCAGCAAACAGTTCTCGCCGCCGATCGACATTCTCAGGCACCACCTCCGAGTTCAGCTGCTACGGCGAACTGCAAAAGTTTGAAGGAGACAAATGATTTTGGATTAATTACGAGTGTAGTCCCTATAAAGTATCAAATCTGTCCAATAAGCCCTTAAATCTTCTAATTTCTATTTTATAACTTCTAGGTAAATCCCCGCTTAAAAAATGTCTAAAAATTATTAAAACCTTTTTATTTTGCATCAGCTCCCATTATTTGGAAAATCGAAAAGTCTCCTTCTCAATTTATCTGTGAATGGTTTCCTCTTTTTCTTGCATTTATGTTGATTTTCTTATTATCACTTTCTGGTGCCCTATCGGTCCTGCCACCACGCCGCAGAACGGGAGCTCGTGTGGAACCTTTTCTTTCTGGCGTAACTGCCTCGGAAGCTAATTCGCTTGTAGGCAGCGCTGTCTGTCGTACCGTTGACTCGAGACTAGTCAATTCAGCTATTACGTTCGCAAGGGGCAAACGTTTAGGCATTCCAGGTCTTACAGTGCATTCATGCAGCAAGATTCAGATTGAATGGGAAGCAAGGCTGTAAGGCGGAGCTACTCAGCACCTAAGGTGGGGTTCAATGCCTAACAAAAACGGCCAAAAGAAAAAAAAGAGATGTGGAAAGAAAGAACGCGGTCGCTTCAATTTCCCAAGACTCGAGAAGGATATTTTCCTACAAAAGATGAGAAGGGTCGAAACTGGTATCAAATTCCACAGCGATGAATGAATCTTCCCCATCTAAGGCCAGTTCTGGGAGACCCATATACCTGGGGCGGCTTAAGACCGGAATTTATCTAACGCTTAACAGGATTAAATTAATAGTAATTATATCTATCAATATATATGGTCTTAAACCATCGATAATGATTTATTTTTAGAGTTTGGACTACTTGATTGATTCACTTACTCGTATCATGTCATTATTAATCATGACGGTTGGACCTATGATTCTTATTTATAATGATAATTACATGTCTCATGATCAACGATTTTTCAGATTTTTTGCTTATATGAGTTTGTTAAATACATCAGTGTTGGGATTAGTGACTAGTCGGAATTTGATACAAATTAATATTTTTAGGAATTGATTGGAATGTGTTCTTGTCTATTAATAGGTTTTTGGTTCACCCGACCTATTGCGACGAATATTTGTCAAAAAGCATTTGTAACTAATCGCGATGAAGATAATTACGTCTCTTATATACCAACTTCCTCCTTTCCCTAACCTTTGTTTGCACACCTTGTAACCCCAACATCTACTAAATAAAAGGTTAAAAGTTTGAACATGACACTAATCAAAATTTACGACCCTTCGACTTTAAAAGTTTATGAATTAAACTAGATTAAAATATAGTTTAATCTTGTACTTTCAACTTTGATTCTGTTTGGTCCCTGTACTTTTAAAATATTTACTTTTGTCCTCAGACTTTCAACTTTTGTTCATCTAATTCCTATAAGTGACCATTTTTGCTTCCTATTTTCAAAATTTTAACCCAAAATTCCAACATAATGAAAAGTATTAAATATAAAATCATGGTTATATTGAATATAATGTCGTGTTAAATTGTAATAGAAAAATAAGTAAAAATAAAATTAAAGAATAAAAATGGTTACTTTTAAAAAATACAATGACCAAGATAAACTAAAGATTAAAATATAGAGATTTAAGAACAACATTTTAAATGTTGAATTAGAGGACCAAATTGCATTTTAACTATTAAACTAATAATTTGGGCTCAAATGATAATTTCCAAAAACGAAGGGGTGAGAATGATATTTCCTAAAAATTAAATACCCTTAATTTTGAAGCCTATAGGGAGCTCGTCTTCACATGACGGAAGAAACGTACTGTTTAGCCGCGCTGGTTCAAAAATGCACTTCCGTGGCCTCACTCAAGACGGCGCGTCAGCTCCACGCTCTCATTCTGACCTCCATAGCCGCCGCCGGCTCGCTCACTCCTTACATCTGCAACAATATCTTATGGATGTACGCTCGATGCGGCGCAATTCGCCAGTCACACCTAGTGTTCGACAAAATGCCGAAGAGAAATCTGGTTTCGTTTAACGCCCTAATGGCGGCCTATTCCCGGTCTCCGGAGGATGCTTCTCTGGCTTTCAAGCTTTTTCCGCAAATGGAGCTCGAATCCCACAGACCCAATGGTGCGACTCTCACGAGCTTATTGCTCGCAGCTTCTTCCCTTAAAAATCTGACTTGGGGCTCTTTGCTTCATACCCAAATAGTGAAACGTGGTTTCGTTAATGATGTTTGGGTTCAAACCGCGCTAGTTGGCACTTACTCCAATTGCCGGGATTTGGAATCCGCCGGAAAAGTTTTCCGGTGGACGCTTGGTAAGGGTGTAGTAGCTTGGAATTCCATGATTTTTGGAAATTTGAAGCACGATAAACCGGAGGAGGCGCTTCAATTATTCTGTGAAATGCTGCGAATCGGAATGGTTCCTACTGAATTCACCTACGCAATGGTTTTGAATTTATGCAGTAGAAATGGAGATTACCATTTTGGTCGGCTCGTCCATGGCCGTATTATCACTTCAAACGCCAGTATCGATAGAACTCTGAAAAATGTCCTGCTGGATTTGTACTGCAATTGTGGAGATACCCATACAGCATTTTGGATTTTCAATAGAATTGAAAACCCGGATTTGGTTACTTGGAACACAATCATCTCAGGATGTTCAGAGAATGAGGAAGAAGAGAAGGCCATGAGTCTGTTTCTTCAATTACAGGAATCATCACCTCCAAAGCCAGATGAGTACACTTACGCAACTATAATCTCTACCATTGGCAGTCTTACGAGTGGAATGTCTTTCCATGGGCAAGTTATAAAGAGAGGATTTGAGAGGAGCATCTTTGTGAGCAGTGCCATTGTGTCTATGTTGTTCAGAAATGGCGAATCTCAAGCTGCTGAGAAGGTTTTTGGGTCGGTTGTGGAGAAGGACGTTGTTCTCTGGACTGAAATGATCACTGGGTATTCAAGAGTGTCTCAAGGGGAAAACGCCATTAAATTCTTTCAGCAAATGCTTCAGGCTGGGCATGATATCGACAGCTTTTCACTCAGTATTGCTCTGAGTTCATGTGCTGACATTGCCACTCTGCAACAGGGCGAGACCCTTCATTCCCTGGCCATAAAAACAGGGTGTGAAGCTGAAATCTCCGTTTCTGGGAGTCTAATCGACATGTATGCCAAAAGTGGCGACCTGGGTTCTGCTAAATTGGTATTTTCTCAGGCCCCATCTCCTGATTTGAAGTGCTGGAACGCCATGCTTGGAGGGTACAGCCACCATGGAAATATAGACCAGGCATTGAAGCTCTTCTTCGAACTTCAAAACCATGGCGTCGAGCCAGACCAAGTAACATTTCTTTCCTTACTTTCTGCTTGCAATCACAGCAACTCGGTTGAAATAGGGAAGTTTTTATGGAACTACATGAAAGAGAGTAATATTATGCCAAATTGTAAGCACTATTCTTCTATGGTAAGTCTATTAAGTCGAGCTGGATTCATGGATGAAACACAAGAAATGATTTCCAAATCACCATTTGCAGATGGTGATCCAGAGCTATGGAGAACTCTGTTAAGTTCTTGTGTTGTTATGAAAAATCTTAGAGTGGGAGTTTATGCAGCAAAACAAGTGTTGAGATTAGATCCAGAAGACAGTGCAGCACATATTTTACTCTCAAATCTGTATGCTGCAGAAGGAAAATGGGAGGCTGTGGCAGAGATGAGGAAGAGAATAAGAGAGTCAATGGTGGTAAAGGATCCTGGTCTAAGTTGGATTGAGGCCAAGAAACATGTCCAAGCATTTTCTTCTGGTTTTCAATCAGAGCCAGAGGTTGATGAAGCTCTAGATACACTGCTGAGGCTAAGAGGAAACATGAGTGCAGAAATGGATGAATTAAGTGTGATAGGCAGCTAAAAGACTAATATAAGAGTATGTCAAAGCTTGAGCTTTATCGAGGTTAAATTTGGCTTTCTCATACCAACTGTAAAAGCTAAGGGTCGATTTATGAAGTAAATGTAGGATTAACAAAGTTGTATAAAGGCAAAATACAGTTTTAGTCCCCAGGGTTCTAGGGCTGGCTTTTATTTGATCAATTTGGTCCATGTAGTTTAGAAATACTCAATTTTAGTCTCTGTTGAGCATTGACCATTAATTAACCTAACTACTGGATATTGTGATGGTTGGGGGGCTTAGTTGGGTAATCGCATGTCGCAAAAATTAAGTAATGTGGCAAACTTTATGCCGTATTTGTTGGAGACCATTGCTAAACACAGAAGGTTGCTATAAAGTTCATGTATAAGACCAAACCAGAATGGCTACATTCTGTAGAACAGAAGTGAGAAAACGTGGTACAAGCAACATAAATCTCCACATTTAGCATACATATCTACGAGGGCAGTTCCAAAACAAGAACTTAAGCACATCCTCTCTGTTGATACGAACCGCTGATGGCAGACCCGACCAGCCACTATCACCCGACCATCACTCTTGTCATGAACATCAAACATGACTTCCACAACTATGGTATGCATCTCCATTTTCTTTCATCTTGTTACTCTTCATTGTTTTTTGTCTTGTACATTGTATCACGAGCTTATCTCAAATGGCTGTGAATGTTCCTCTTTGTAAAAGAAGTGTTTGATTGCTGTCGGGAACTCTTCTGGGGAGATAGAATTCTTTATCAAATTAAGAGATTATCAATATAAGAATCATTGTAAATCTTAAATCATAAAACTTAGCACTCTTAGAGATAGAGTTGTGGGTTAGAGGGAGTCTACTATGTGGTGATAACAGCACTACTGATCAAGCCATAGAGACTGGATCCTGGTTAGACAAATAATGTTATGATGAACTGGGCTAGGAGGTAGGAGTGTACCCAAAAGCTCGTTGTATGACTTTTAAGTGTGAACAACTACAGAAATAAGTGATGAAAATTTAGGTGTGTATTGTAAGTAGCAAGGAGAGAAAGAGAATTGCAAAATATCATAGATATCAACAAATTATCAACGACAATTATCGACGATATCATCAATAATGAATTAATTTGAGTCGTACTAAGTAGTGACATCATGTGACATTGATTTTTAGATGGTTTATGACAATGAGCTATATTGCCAGCCTACATGGAAACCTTCTGGGCAACAAGTTTAGAACAATAAATTAGTACAAACATGTTACACGGATGTATTTTAAGGTGAAAAGAGTGGATGAAGTGTTCTAAGATTTTTTTTTTTCTTTTCTAATTATACACTATAATATGGCCAGAGCCCTACCTACATCTTCATGGAAAACGTTCTAGTTGGAATGGGATTTTCAAGTTTCTAATCCTTCTAGTCTTGCGACTTCAAGAGCGCACGTGAAACCTCGTCCTTCTACTAAGGACATGTTGTTATAGCTAAATGTCGCATAGAGTAGGTGCTCGAAGCTCAAGCTCAACGCTCGGCCTAAGCCTGACCCGATGATATGAATTATCCCGGACTCACAAGTTTCGACAACACATCGATGCTACATTTTACGAACATTTGATGTTAATTTATTCTATTCAATCTTTGCTTAATAAGGGGTGTTAGTATTTAGCCATTGGTGAATGATATGTAGAGTTTCCTTTTATGTCTTCTTTATCTTCATTAGGGCGAGTCCATGTAAGGCTTTGAAATAGCCTATAGTTTAGTTAGTGTATTTTGCAAGTTTTGGATGATTAGTAAAACTGTACCTTAAACATCTTTGAATTTTAAACACATGGAGTTAGGTGATTCTGTTAGTACAACAAATGTGAGATTGTGAAAATTTGAACCTCCTGCTTTAAAAAGAACGAGTAGAGATTTGGCATGAAGAAGTTTTGTAATGTTAATGAATGTAACTAGAGAGATTGTTTAATTCGATATCACATTTTTCATCCATTCTACTTCTAATTAAATGCTTGGACCAAAATTTTGGCACTATCCAATTCAAAGTGGTGGTAGGCATTAACCTCTATTTTTCTAATCTATGTCGTTTCATCCTATCAAATTCAACCTATAAAGCATTTTGCTCATGAATATATAAAATTACCTTTTTAATTTTATGTCTCAGCTCATGACTAAGGTTAAAGTGTCTCATACATTTTGATAATATTGTTAATATAACTCATTTTGTAAATATTTCAAACTTAGAGTTATTTTCTGATCTGAGCATGTGTAGTTTAGTATAAAAGAAATTTATTATCATCTGAAAGGTCATGGTTCAATACTCATCTCAAAAGAGACTTATAAAATGAGTTAAAATATTATACAAATCTTTTTAATTAAACATGAATAAGACACACGCACATGAAAATAGTTTATAAAGGGCTAAAAAAGACCTTAGGTGGCAAATCTCGGAAAAAAAAAAGGAAGAGAATGTTCTTAGAAAAAGCATAGACATATAATACTATTCTAAGAGTTGGAATTATTTAAAAGAAAATGTTTCTTTCACTTTATCTCTCATTCTCGACCAAGCAAAGAATAAAGTATTTTTTTTTATCACTTTTCCTAAAGAGTCATATAGCCAAAGAAAATGTTTTGAAGATTCTTTCATTAATACCTTCGCTAGTAAGCATTACTTGTTCATATTTTTGTGTTCAAAGAATTTTACTATAGGTAAAAATAATCCAACTTAAAAAAATAAAAAAAAAATATTATGGAGACCTTACGCTTTCTGTGATGTGAACCACACCGCAATTCTTATGAATGGTTAATGCATGTTTCTAGGTGAGGTGACATGTGGCTCCAATATGATCATTGTTGATACCTGCAAATAGAAACTTGTACTAATTTGGTCTTGATCACGCATACTTCCATGCTTAATTAATTTGGAACTAAATAGAACGTAGGTGTCGAGCTGTGTAGGAGAGAAATGCAAAAGATTGTGTTCCTTTTGAAGTGGACTCTGCCCTTTTATAGGATGAGAGAGTCTTGGGAATCAAGATTTTGTCCCTATAGTTGTAGTGTTAGTAATTTAACGGATTTTTTCCATCGACAATTGGAATATTCTATTTCAGTAGAATTGTCCTTTTGTCGAATGTCAATAAATTCCTTGCCAGTCAATATCTTCCTCGTTGAAGATGAGGTTAAGTTCTTATCTCTTAGCCAGAGGCCTTTCCTCCTTGTCTTTGGAATATCTTGGGTCTCACTGAGACCTAGACACGCATGTCCACGTAGTGGAGAGTCACGTGTCATGTCATTTTTTAACCCATATGGATAATAATTATAACTACATAATTAAAAAATAATAAAAGTGGGAGAAGGGAGAAATAACAGAGAAGCAACCTTTTAACTAAAAACTAATTTAAGATAGAAGTGTTTAATTATGAATTAATAAGATTGACAATGCGTTCATGAAGGAAATTAGAGCCTCTCCAACACTTGGGAGGGGAAGAAGAAGTGAAAAAAATCAGAACAAATTATTAAAAATAAAAACATGAAGTTCATGAGTCAATTTTCACTTTTAACATGTAACATGTGAATAAATGTAAACATAAATAAGATTAAAATATTATTTTAGTCTACGTACTTTTAGACACCAAATAGTTAAGGTACATAAATCTCACCCTTACATGTTCTCTGACGTCTCTACTTTAAATAACATTCTCTAGAATATGATCTTATATAGATCATAGTAAACTTATACAAAAGATTATTAACGTCCAAAAAAATTAAACAAAGCTAAAGTTTGACTCATAACGTCTTCAACTACACCATAAGTTTTAGAATATAATATATTTTTTTACATATCCGTGAGTGTCTGGACCAGTTTACACATACCTTAACTAATCTCACAAACTAGTCGTCTGATTTTACGACAATTAATGTCGAAAAAATATAGGAATTAATTCCTAAGATTCGTCAAAATATTGTTGTATCGAAACAAGAACATTAATATTTTTAATCTCAATGTAAGTGCGATTATTGTTCTTCTCCCACCAATTCATCTCTCCCAATTGATCTCCAGAGACAACTCTCTTAGCTACACAAAAATTCTAAAACACAAATTCTATTACATATTCATATTCACCCACATCACCTCCACACCTTTCACAACTACTTGCATATGATCAACGCTAAAAAACACTAAAAGAGATCCCTTCCAATTCTAAAACTTAAGCGAATATGAACCCATCAACTTTGCAAACTCCTTGATATCAATGAAGCCATCCCCATCTCCATCCACACCCTTCACCATTGCCCTACACACGGTCAAGTTCGTGCTCTCCCCGAGCACCTTCATGATCCCCATCACCTCCTCCGCGCTTATCTTCCCGTCTCCGTTCGAATCGTACACTTTGAAAGCACTCTCGATATCCCCAACCCGAACCTCTCCACCATTCGTGGCATAGAGCTCCACAAACTCCTTCAAGTCCACATACCCATCCCCATCCCCGTCCACGAACCCAAACGACTTCGCAGCTTCGGCTTCCGAGATCTCTTTGTTTCCCGCCATGGCTCTATGCGCGGCCTTGTACTCCTCGAACGAGATCTTCCCATCTCGATCCTTGTCGAACTTGTCAAACACCTGTTACATCATCATTAACCATAAAATATCAATATTATTGCAGGAGTTGACAGATTCCTACTCTGATAACATGTTGAATCGTACCCATTTGATCTCTTCCAGGTTCGGTCGGGGGTGCTTCGAATAAGTCGAAGAGTTGGACCTTGGTTTGAGTTGGGTGGCTGCCGGAGTTTGTTTTGGCTGTCTCTTTCGTGAACAGCTTGTGAATAATCTCAACATACTTCTTCCTTTGTTTGTAATTTCCTTTTGGGGTTTGAGAGAAAACGTAGGAGAGAGAGTGACTAAATTTTTAAGGACCTTTTGAGTTGTTAAGTTTATGGAATGAGACCTTGAACACCCTATATTTATAGGTAATAAAGATGTAACYTTTTTTCATTATGTTTGTAATTTGATACTAGCTATTTCCACCCCTTTCAATGTTTTTATATATTTTTTTAATGTATTTTAGTACATGGTTACATCTAAGAGTTTAAATTACAAATAGTTGACCGATTAAGGCATCTTACTCTTTCTTTAGAGGTCAGAGGTTCAATCGAATTAAAATCTTATGCATGTGTCTTAATAGACAAGTGACTCGTAATTAATTTTAAGTTTGGGATGTCAATCTGAACGTAAATCAATTGATTAAGATATCTATCTCCAAAAAAAATGTTGTGATCAAGTTCAAATCTCTACTTCATATGTTTTACTTACAAAAAATAGTGAGTTTGAGATAACTCACTTATTGAAAAGTACTAATCTAAGTACTTAGCATAGTTTTAAAACCGTTTCACCTTAGGTGTTTTTTTTTTTCCCTTAAGAATTCCCAAACCCACTTTTTTTTTATGTGACATGGATATTTTGTGACCACACACCATCCCAGTATTTTTAAAGTGTTCTTAATTGACTAAAAATACAAAATTTCACCCATTATTTCAAAATTCATCCAAAACGATCCAAATATTTTATTTCAAAACATACATTATAAACATAAAGATTAAAATAAAGCAAACTTAAAAGTTCAGAGAACTCGTAAAAGTGAGGAGTGGTAGTTATTTTCGTATTGAACCCTAAAAGATAAAAAGGTATGTGAAACGATGCCTATATTCCTTCAACATTGTCACGACAATATTTGGTAAAGTAAAATGAATATATTTAGAGGGAATAACTTCATATGCTAAATCCTTTTTCCAATTGTATGCAATCCCACACAAAATAATAATAATAAATAAATAAATAAAATGATGACTTTATTTTAAAATGGAAAGAAATTTGGAAGAAGAGAGGAATTTTTTAAGTTTGGGATCAAGTTCCAAATGCATGGAAGACATTAGTGGAAGTTTGAATGGCATCATTTATTTCTTTTTTTTTTTCCCTATTCTTTCTCTCACTTTTCGAATATATTTCTTCATATAGTAAACGGATATATTTAGGACACCCCAAACAGAGAATCTAACCATAACCAAATATGTTGCAAAATACACATTTTTCTTCCAAATTAAACAAAAAAATAATGTGTCTCTCGATTGGAATTTGAAATTTACATGAGTTTTAAAAGGAAACTCGTTTTAAAGGGCGTTGAGAGGGAGACAAGGTACCATATATTAGATCCAGTTGGATAACTATTTCGTTTTTTATTTTCTATTTTGTCTTAATCGTATTTGTTTGGTCATAATTTTTTTGGTATGTTTTTACCCTTCTTAAAACCATGTTTAAACTCTAAGCTATATTTCATAAACAAAAACTACGGTTTGAAGACTACTTTTTTTTACTTTTCAAAATATCTGGTTTAGATTTTGAAAATATTTTTGAAAAGCAGATGCCGAACAAAGAAATACATAAGTGAAAATAGTATTTTATCAGATTAATTTTCAAGAAAAATAAAAGTTGTTATCAAAAGATGCTTTATTTTTGTTAGATTATAAGTTTTGTCAATGAATTTATTAAGGTTGTGTCTATTTAATACATATGTCTTTAATTGGTCCCTAAACTTTTAAATTTTTTTGTTTATTTGGATCCTTATACTTAAAAATATTTCTAATAGATTTTTGAACTTTCTATTTTATTTGTATAGTAGGTGTCTATCGTTACTTAATTAGTTTGATATTTATGTGGTACAATGACTATATGTTATTTAAGAATTACAATGTTTAGGTATTTTGGTGCTTCAAATTTTAATAAATATAGTAAATGAAATTATATTAAACTAAAATTGAAAGATCACATATTACAAATTTTTTAAAATATAAGGATAAAATAAACAGCCTTAAAAGCGTCTAAGAACGTTTTAGAACATTTTAAAGTATAGAGATTGAAAAGACAAGTTTACGAATTTGGAACCAAACTCATAATCTAACCTTAAATATATATATATATATATATATATATATATATATTTTAATTAAACACTTTATTAGATAATTAATGACATGTATCAAAATTGTCTCTGTTGTTAGGCAAAATTCATGAACCAAAAACAAAAGGGTTAAAAACTCCCTAATAGCAGTCATGAAAGTTCAAGAATCAGAATATAATATACGTCACTTTTTTTTTTTTTTTTTTGGTTCCATCATCTCTAATTAAATTGAAACTTATATTCTAACTATTGCTTTTTAAAAAGTGTTCAAACATTAAAGTAAGCCGTTGGAGAAAAGCAGTATCTTTAAACTATTCAAAAGTTAATTAAAATTGTGAAAATTAGAAAATCATGTACAATTAACCTACAAAAGTACACGCACATTAATTGTGCTCTTATACTATTTTAATTTAATTAAGATTTAAATTTTTTCTGAGTTTTTATTTTTTTTAATATAAGTATAAATAACTTACAATAATATATTCCTAAAAAAAAGAAAAATAATAATAATAATAATAACTTACAATAATATAGAATAGAGGGAGGGTTCTGATGTCAAAATCCAATCAACAACCTTACTAATTGATATTGACTTTATAAATAAATAAATATATAAGTATTTTGCGTTAAGAATTCACCTTAAAAAGATATAAGACCTAACAATGGTTTATAATAGACCTGAGTTAATTATTTCTCTCCATTACCAATTGATTTTGAGATGAAACCATAGTAATCTGGTATCAGAGTCCAAAACGCTCAAACCAGCATCCGACCCAAAATTGGTGAACTAAAGAGAGACACCCATGTTAATTCGGTATGTCTATGGGTTAATTGCTTATTTTTTAATTTAAATAATTTTTACAAATTTTTTATTTTTATAACCTTTCCTAAAATATCCATCATTATTTCATCGATATTTTCATCAACATTTATATGAAATTAAGACCTCGATATTTCCATCGATATCGACATTTAAAATCTTGCCTATTTATTGAAAGTTCAAAATTTTGTTCGATGTTATGGGTAAAATAAAGCAATACTAAAATCTGACAAACCAAACTCATACGTCAAGCGGGCGTCCAAGAACTCAGAAAGTTGACACCGAAAAACTGGACTCGACCCAATATCCAGGGATTGAGGCCAACTAGTGGACTGGCCGGTCGACTCGACCAAACCATGGCCAAGCTGACCACAAAGCCGACCAGCCCTATATTGGCTGGTCAGCTCGTCCTTACAGCCGACCAGCCTTGGTTGACTAAACCTGACCTTGTAGCTGACGAGCCTCGGTCGGCTCGACCAAGCCTTATTAATAGCCGACTAGCCTTGGTCGTCTCAACTGAGCAATGAGGCGGCCAACCAGCCTCGACTAGTTAGCTTGCTCAATTCGACTAGGCTGAAAAGTCATCTTTGGTTGGTTGGTTAACTTGGCCAACTACACTTGGTCAGCCATTCCATTTGTGCTTGAAGCAAGTAGGCGACGCGAATCTATGGTTTCTATGTTTCAATGGGATACCAATTGCTTGGATGCCTTTGTTTGAAAGCCTCGAGATGATTAGCAGAAAAAATGCTTTCTAGGTTTGTCTTGTGTCTCCGTAACAAATGGTCCATTTATTTTTTTATTGATGGGCGAACAACGGGGATTGAACCCGCGTGTGGTGGATTCACAATCCACTGCCTTGATCCACTTGGCTACATCCGCCCGCCCCTACCCCCGCACAGGTTTCAGTCTCGAGATACGATCAGATCCTTACCCTATGACCGCTATCAAAGAGAAGCTTTTTCCTATACGAGAGTAGCAAGCCAACCGATTAGTCTACAGTTGAACTCATCTTACCTCAACAAGGACTCGTCAAGGAAAAAGATCTCGAGATCTACGAAATTCAAATTATCCTTAATCTAAGGAATTCGAAAGGAAAGGATATCCTATTGTGTCTAGGTTTTCTATCAACTCTATTTCTTCCGTCCATAAATAAAGAGAGAAACTTCATAACCAACCTACGCTACAAAACTCTACCTTTTGTTACACTTTACATAAGACCCTAATTTTAACTTAAATATCGAAGTGTGTGTCTAGCACCACATGTGTAATCTTTTTATTTTGCACAGATTTCATTGAATTCGTTTATTCTAAAAGATTTATGCAATTTTGTTAATTTTTATAGGTCAAATTTATGCATCAAAATCAAACATTTTTTTAAAATTTAATGATCTATTAGAACATAAAACTAAAATTTTGGAGACCTACTAAACACTTTTAAGCTTCAATGACTTATTAATTATTAGACACGCTCTTAAATTTTCGGAGCCAAGCTAATAATTTAATCTTTAAAAGAAAATTGACAAAACCAACCTTTAATTAAATATAATTTATTAAAGTTGAAATGCTGTATAATTAAGTATTCTTACTACACTATTTTACAAATGTTTCTTAAAAAGTAAATACATCTTTCAAATTTAGCATAATTATTTTGGTTTTTAATTTTCGAAAAACAGGGTTGGATAACCTATTCAATTTACTGTTTTTTGTTTTTCAAAAACCATTTTAAAATTCTACGGTAAATTCAATTTTTCAAAATCTGATTTTTTTCTTCTAATCTCCAACTTTTTTTTTCTTTCTCATATTTATCTCTAAAAAATTTCTTTATGACTCTAAATTTTATTTCTTTCTAAATTTTTATCTACAAAATTTATTTTTCTCTCTCTAAAATTCTTATATTTTGAATATTTATTATTATTTGTCTCTATATCCAAAATTTTCATCTCTTTGTATTTTTATTAACTATTTTTTTAATAGATCAGTTTCATTTTTCTAACTAAAAAATTAATATTTTCTCGGACTTTTTTCTCTCTAAATTTTTTTTTAACTTTTTTTTCCCTTCCTAATCTATTGTTTCCTTTGAAAGTTATATATTTTTTTTCACTCTAACTTTTATTTATCTCTGTATTTATTTATTTTCTCTTTCT